TGAAAAAATTTCCCTCGTTCCCCGTAAATGGGGGAAACCTCCAAAAAAATTACAAATTTAAAAATCGCTAATTTTCGAAATTTTTTCAATTTTTTTTACTAAAAACTGCCGTAACTTTTTCAAAAATGAACATATCAATATAATTTGTTTTTATAGATGCTTGATATCTTTTTACTTATCATTTGGTATATATTTTTTGTAAATCTGACACTTAACCTGCCCACAGGGGGAGATTTAAAATGACAACTTTTTCACAAAAAATTAACTTTTGAAAATGTTCCGGAAGGTCTGACACTTTTATATATATCTTAAATTAAAGCTAATGTAATGTACTTTATTATGAAAAAAAAAAATGTTGGACTTTATTTTGTCTTCACGGTGAAATTAGCTACCGTATGCTATTTTTGTGTGAAAATTCTTGATTTTATTTTTTACATTTTTAACTTTATAATGCACTTTTACGTGTGTACTCGTAGTGATTAGTCGTACAGTACAACAGCGACCAGCCTTATCTATATCATTAAGCTTATCGCCAACTGTACCGATTGAAAATATTCAAGTAATATGATTATTTTTATCTACATTCCGTACCCACCGTTATAAACTTCATCAAACTAACAACAAAAATCCGTCCGACCACTGAATNAAACTAACAACAAAAACCCGTCCGACCACTGAACCATGAGTTCGGCCAGCGGATCATCATTACCTTTACGTTCACAATCGATTAATTCTTCTAACATTAATAACTCCAATAAAACGATAACACTGATCAAGATTATTAAAAACTCATCTAACGACGACTCTGCATGGAAAACTGTTCCTATTAGCTCGCCATGCCATTCCCCAAAATCAAAAATACAAAAAACAAATTCCTTCTCAAGTCCAAACAGTTACTCAGCTCTTACCATAAATGACCACCCAGAGGAAAATGATAATGATATTGAAATGAAAACACAATTTAACCCAAAAGAAGTATACAAAATTCCACCCATTTACATAAAAAGTACAATTGACTTCTTTGATTTTTGTAAAAAAAATAAAACCTCTCACTGAACCTGAAAGATTTACAACAAAAAGCACATCTAACAGTATCAAATTATTGACATACACTATCAATGCGTATAGACAAGTTGTAGAACTATTATAAATAAATAATATAAACTACCACACTTTTCAACTTAGCGACGACAAAGCTTTCAGAGTAGTTATTCGACACCTTCACTATACTACACCAATTAATTTCATCAAAGAACTAAATAACTTTAATGAATTTTAACTATTCAATCAATTTTAATGATCGGTACATTAAAAGAAATCCGATTTTAATCTAATTGAACTTATTGTCAAAAAATATCGGAAAAACTGTTTTTATTAAATATCTCTACAAATAATAGGAGTAAATAATTTGATTTATATTGAATTACACAATAAAATCATATTATATAATCAATATTTATAATGATTATAGACTACTATTTTGCAAAACCAAATTTATATAATTATTAAAAATCTGAAATTATAATTTTTCTATCACCTATTTTATGAGATTATAACTAATTTGAAAACGAGTATTTACATTTAATGAAATAGAATAAAAACAAATAAAATTTTGTATTTAATGATGTCAACACCAAATTTGCTCGTCGAGATAAAAAAAAAGGTATGGTAAAATGTCCAATTTAATTATAAACTTTACTAAAAAACAGCTTGAACCAAAAAAATCGGTATAAAATTACGTTTTTTTGAATCAAAATTTTGCACAAATAATTTTAACATATTAAAAATCAAACTCGACAAAAATTTAAAAAAATTTTTTTTAAATGTAAATCGTTGTTTTTTAAAAATACGTAATAATCTCAAAAAAGAGTTGATACGAAAAATCTAATTATAGATTTAAGATCGGCGCAAAAATTGGTTTAGAAATTTATATTTTGGTTTCTGATGAATATTCGTTGAAGATCAATAAATTTATTCATAAATAACAACATTTTTTTTTTTTTAATTATTGCATCATATCTTTCATTTTTTTATACGTTTGCCATAAAAGTTTGGATCCAGCTATATTTGCAAAACTATATTATCAAAAGTATAATAATTTCATACTGTATATAATTTCAAAAAAAAAAGGTTTTCTTATACTATATTCATAAATAAAAATGCTTGAAATATGGATATTGTAACAAAAAAAAAGGTTGAATTTGTAATCACAACTTTTAGCTCGACATGCAAGTTTGAAATTGAATAAATAATTAGATAGATAATTGTATGTGAATTAAAAAATGGTTTTGTTAAGTTACAGTAATGGTATGAGTCAGAAAATGTTATAATTACTATTTACAGTTATTTCGAACTATTTACCTCAAATTTGAATGATTCAAGTGTAACCGACTCTCTTACCATACGTCGCATTCGTCTGTAGATAAAAATGGCAATGTAAGCTAGTTCAAATATAAAAGCTATTTTTTTTTATTTGAAAAAGTAAAAAATTAAAATAAGATTATCATTATTAGTGTTGTGTCCCACCTAGAATGAGACACGGTAACGCGTTTGGAGTGAATGTAGTTGTAATGTGAAATGAAAATAAAGGATTACGGCACAATATATATATATTTATAACGGCTTTTTAATTTATAAATACAATTATTTATAATTGATACATTAATTGTCTTAAGGTGAAAATCACTTATAAGTCGTAACACAATATATTTATACAATGGTTCGAACGCGATTGATTGTTGCTTATTCGTTGTTAATAATAATTATTCCTTAACCCCACTACATTAATATAATAACAATACGGGTTCGTAACAATTAGCTACGTAAATTAGAATTATTCAATTTTTATGAAAATCAGTGGAATACATTTGTAAGGTATTTTAAAATAAAATAAAATTCAAAACCTTGAATTTTTCTAAAACAGCATATTTTTGAATACGGTAACCACTTTTACCATGAAGACAATCTATAGTTTGAAATTTCCATTATTCATAGCAAAGCATAATTTATAAACTTTAATTTAAAATATATTTAAAAGTGTCAGTATTTCCGGAAAATTAAGTTGAAAAAGTACAAATTTCTATACGCATGTTTAAAGTTATGATCCCATTGAATGAAGAGATATTGTCTAATTTAAAAGTTAGTTGGAAGAAAGGGTTTAAATAACGTATTTAAAAAGAATTCCCCTCATAAATTGTAAATATTCAATGGTTTCCGGTAATGGGAGAAATCCTTAAAAAAGTTACAATTTTAAAAATCGGTAATTTTTTTTCAACATTTTTAAAATTTTTATTTTCTTAAAATTGCTATAAATTTATTAAAAATGAACAAATCAACATAATTTTAAGTAAAATTTTATTGCAATAAATATACACTATCGCGATCTAAAAATATAATTTTAAAACAGTTGCAAGCAACAAGTTTCAATAAAATTACTTTGTAAATATTGTTCTGTATGAATAACAATTTGTTTAAGTAAACAAAGTCAATACACCAATATTTTTTTAATGCCCTTTTAATAAATGACAAACTGATATTAGTTTCTATTATTTGAGCCTAATGATGTATTTGAAGTAAGGTGACGTCAATTGAATGTGAAATAATAGCAATAAAAATTATTTAATAATGATTTGTACTATTAATTTTAACTTTTTTTCAAACAATTATTTTATAATAATATTTATAATCTGTTATGCACAATAAGTAATTGTTTGCATGACTTAAGTATGCTTAAGAATAAAAATAATAATAATTGGAGTAAAACATAAATAATAATATTATTTTTTATAACTTTATTAATGACAATTTTAATTGAAATACCTTTCTCTTAAGTAGGTATACATAATTAATTATCTAGATTATAAAAAATTTTAAAAGCAAATATTAATAAACAATTGTTATCATATAGCGATTCAATATTCAGATGACGGTATAAAATGGCAATTTCAAAAAGGTACCACTAGAAAAGCTGCTGAAGATGGAAACATAGAAATTTTAAAATATGCTCATAAAAATGGATGTCAATGGGACGATGATACGACTATTGTAGCAGCTGCAAAAGGTAATATGGAATGTTTAAAATATGCGCATGAAAATGGGTGTGAATGGAACGAAGAAACAACAAAGGCTGCAGCTTCAAAAGGAAATTTAGAAATCTTAAAATATTTACATGAAAATGAATGTCCTTGGAATAAAAGCACAACAGAAGCAGCTGCAAAATATGGTAATTTGGAATGCTTAAAATATGCTTATGAAAATGGATGTCCTTGGGATGAATTAAAAATTGTACAAAGTGTTATTAAAAATACTGATCTAGATATTTTAAAATATGCTCACAAATATATACATAAATTAAATATAGTTCTAACTATCATAGCTGCTCGTGCAGGTAATATAGAAATTTTAAAATATGCACATAACAATAAATGTTTGTGGGATACAAGAACAACAGAAGCCGCTGCAAAATATGGTAATTTGGAATGCTTAAAATATGCTCATGAAAACAAATGTCCATGGGATAAAAAGACAACAGAAGTTGCTGCTTCAAATGGTAAACTACAATGTTTAAAATATGCACATGAAAATGGATGTCCTTGGGATGAAAGTACAACTGAAAAAGCAGCTGCTAATGGACATTTAGAATGTTTAAAATATGCACATGAAAATGGCTGTGAATGGAATCAATTTACTATTATGTTAGGTACTATTATAAATGGCAAGCTAGAAATTTTAAAATATTTACATGAAAATGAATATCCGTGGGATGAAAGCACAACAGAAGTAGCTGCTTCTAATGGTAAATTAGAAATTTTAAAATATTTGCATAAAAATAGGTGTCCGTGGGATGAAAGAACAACGGAAGCAGCAGCTTCTAATGGTAAATTAGAATGTTTAAAATATGCCTATGAAAATGGATGTCCGTGGGATAATTACACAACAGAAGCAGCTGCTTCTAATGGTAAATTAGAATGTTTAAAATATGCACATGAAAATAAATGTGAATGGGATGAACGCACAACACATTTAGCTGCTTTTTATGGTGAGTTAGAATGTTTAAAATATGCCCATGAAAATGGATGTCCGTGGAATGAAACAGCAACGGAATCAGCTGCTATACATAGTAGATTAGAAATTTTAAAATATTTACATAAAAATAGATGTCCGTGGGATGAAAGGACAACAATAGTAGCAGCATCTAAAGGTAATTTAGGATGCTTAAAATATGCCCATGAAAATGGATGTCCGTGGGACGAAATAACAACGGCAGCAGCTGCTTCTAATGGTAAATTAGAATGTTTAAAATATTCCCATGAAAATGGATGTCCGTGGGATGAAAGAACAACGGAAGCAGCTGCAAAATATGGTAATTTGGAATGCTTAAAATATGCCTATGAAAATGGATGTCCGTGGGATAATAACACAACAGAAGCAGCTGCTTCTAATGGTAAATTAGAATGTTTAAAATATTCCCATGAAAATGGTTGTCCGTGGGATGAAAGAACAACGGAAGCAGCTGCAAAATATGGTAATTTGGAATTCTTAAAATATGCCTATGAAAATGGATGTCCGTGGGATAATAACACAACAGAAGCAGCTGCTTCTAATGGTAAATTAGAATGCTTAAAATATGCACATGCAAACGGGTGTCCGTGGGATAAAGCCACAACTAAAGTAGCTGCATCAGGAGGCTATTTAGACTGCTTGATTTATGCTCATGAAAATGGATGTAACTGGGATAAAGATATTACAGCAGCAGCAGCTATGTTTGGTAATTTAGATTGTTTAATATATGCCCGTAAACGTGGATGTATTTGGGTAGAAGGTACAATGAGAGTGGTTGCATCGAATGGACATTTAGACTGCATTAAATATGCCCATGAAAATGGTTGTGACTGGGACGAAGGTACAACAAGGGAAGCTGCTGCTAGTGGTGATATTGACATTTTGGTATATGCACATAGAAATGGATGTAATTGGGACGAAGGGACAATGAGTGGAGCTGCTGCAAATGGTCATTTAGACTGTCTAAAATATAGTCATTTAAATGGATGTATGTGGGACGAAGGGACAACAAGACTTGCTGCTGCAAATGGCCAATTTGATTGCATAAAATTTGCCCATGAAAATGATTGTCCATGGAGTAAAGATACTATTTATGAAGCTACTCAAAATGGTTATCAAAATATAATTGATTATGTCACTGAAAATGGCTGCCTTAATTAATTTTCTGTTGAAATATAATTTTTATTCATTTATGTTGGCTATTATTACTTTATTTTTAAAATAAATTAACTTGAATTTTTATTTATATCTGAGAGGGTAGTGATTTTCATAAAAGCATTTTTGACAGTTTACTTTCTTAAGAAATAATATTTTTGGATGTATTACCAAAAATAATATGTTATATCATCTGTAATTTTAACATAAAATTTGTTTAATAATATTTTCTCAGCTGTAAGAATAATTTTTCCAGAATACCGTCACCAAGCTTTCATTAAAAAAAGGAAATTTGAAAATCGGACATTGTTAAGTAATTTTTATTACATTGGCTAGTTTTTAATGTTTTTTTATATAATAAGTTGCTACATAGAAAACTCTCTGTATTATTTTGATACGATAGTATTTAAATTATATAAGAATAACGTTTTTATTCTTCAAATAATATATTATTAAGTATTTTGTATTGACTTTTTTTGTTTTGCCAAAAACATATAAGCAAACAACCAACAAGGAAAATTTGGATTTCCTTTTTTTTCCAAATATAAAAATTAATCAACTTNTCTTTTTTTTTCAAATATAAAAATTAATCAACTTCATCTGGATATAATTTTGCTATTATTCTTTTTATCTTTGATTTTCATGTTACTTATCAATAAATGTTAATTGATTAACCTAATAAATTAATGTATAACATAATAAATTATTAATCTAAATAACAATAGTCAACCATGTGATTCCAAGTTTCCAATTTCGACAGTTTTCACCTAGATATTGAATAATATTTAATTTTCGTTCATTCATTTTCATAAGCATATATTATAAATTCTAAGTTTCCATTTTCAGCAGCTTATCAAGTTGTATCTATTTTAAATTTGCATTTTACATTGTCAACTGAATATTAAATCGCTATTATTTTTTATAATATATTCAGTCAACATAATTTTTTGCATTGCGATCTAAAGTAGAACGCTAAAATCAATGGGACTTTAGCCGAACTTTGACGATTAGTTTTTCTTCAAAAGTTTGTACAACAGTCATAANGTTTGTACAACAGACATATGACATTATGTCGACTTTATATTACTCTACGGTGCCTTTATAATTTTATATCTTTCATATTAAATTAATAAGGTATTAAATTTACTATGGTACTATAATATGCATTATGCNATTAATAAGGTATTAAATTTACTATGGTACTATAATATGCATTTATTATTATTACATTTTTTTTTTGTTAGTAGTATATTTTTGACAAAAAGATTCTTGATAAAATATTTATTTATAATTTTTCATTATTATATCAAATAAATTTAGTAAATCAGGTTGCTAAAGCAGTGAAAAATCAAAATTTGGTGTACCTAATTAATTTTATAGTTTATAGAAAAATTGATAAGGGTAGAATTGTATAAACAGAATAGAGTATGTGCTCAACAATTTAAAAATGATGACATAATAAATAGGTTTTTAGAAAATAAACACTCTGTAGGAAAATTTGTAAGTTAGATATTTTCAATATATTTCTAAAATGAAAATAACTTCAACCATCAGAAATTTCTATTAAAAACGGAAATTTAATTAAGTAATGTATGATGTGTGTTTATAGTTATAGGATAGCGTGATAAGTGTTTATAGTGAAGCTATTTTGATAACTTCTGATTGAAATGGGACGTATATCATTGACCGAAGAACATCTGATAGCGTTAAAAGAAATGAAGTCAAGTCTCTTGGAGGTATCCAAAAAGAAATACAAAACGTGCAACTTTTTATTTATGCAGAGTAAAGAAGTTTACGAAAAAGTAAAGTATATGGTAATAAACAAGTTTTTAGTATAACCGAAAATTTAATGTATTCAATCGTGAAAAGCGTTGATATATTGTTATTGCCAAAGACTTCAACATTACTGTACAAAGAAATAATTACATTCGATTATAAATGTATCGTTAAACGTATATGGGACCAATTCATTGCGGATTTAAACATCAAACCAATCATTATATAATATAAATGACAAACGAAAATATAAGGTAGATATTTCATTATGTTGTTTGTGGTAAAAATACTAAATAGAATTAAAATGTTTAGTAAAAATTATGACCATCAAGACCTTTTGGAAAATCTCAACGAAAATATTCATGATGATAATGTACACCATATAAATAATAATTTATCCAATCCATTTAATGATCAAATTCAAGTATGGGAAAGTTGTAGCAATTTATTTGAATAAAAAAAATATTATTAACAATAGTTGTAAACAATTTTGAACTGTTATAATTTTATTGTGAAACATTTGTATTTGAAATAAAAAATTATTATACCTACTCACTGTTTGATTTTTATTTAAGAAAAAATTGTCATCAAAATAATATATACAATCAACACATTTGTGAGATAAAAATATGTAACTACTATTTATCGTCTCATTCTTTATTGTAATTCACATGATTAAATGTTTAATCAAAATTAAAGTTGTAACTTATACTTATAATTTCATACTTGTTGAGTATTTTATTAGGAAATTTAAATTTCTCACAGAACCAGATACGATAAATGTATTCATATTTCTATTACTCCAGGAATCATTTCTGTGATTACATATTACTATTACATATAATAATAATCCTAATAATACATAATAATAATAATTATTATAATATAATATAATGTATATAATATAATATAATTATATAAATATAATATAATTATATAACTATGATAATAATAACAATAATATTCCTAATAATACATATTAGGAAAAAAAATTAACGGTGTCATATAAGACAAAATGTTGAAATAATATTTTAATGTGTTGTACGTAATATGCAAGTTAGTTATTTTATGATTTAAACAGTTAGCGTTTAAATAACACATAAAAAGCAAATTTTAAAATAACGAAGTAAATTGAAAAAACTGATATATAACTCACCCCAGCAATTTTTTTAAAATGTCAACCAATTTAAACCAATCGCAGTGTCAAAAGAAAGGATAAATCATCATTTTGAAATTCTACTGTAAGATTAAATAAGAGTATGTGTTATCACAGTCATTGGATCAAAAGCGTATAAGCAACATGTCTTCACAAAGTATTGACACCGAAGAATTTTTACAAATACTGCATATTATGAGAACTGAACCGCTGTCTCCAATACTTGGCGAAGAAGAATATGCAGAAAAATTAAATGAGATGAAAATTGAACAACTTTTGCAAACAATGGTAAGTATTTAAAAAATAATTTTATATATGCGAGTATAATAAAATATATATATTTTCGTAGTCTCAAGAACTATTACCAGATTTTTAGAATATGGATGATTATTATTTAAATATCGATAATGATACAGAAAATCCTACATCATACTCGATGATCGATGCGGGGCAACATCAAACTTGGTTAAATGATATGGTATGTGTTTAATATTTTATTTTTATTTTAAAATGTTACATGTTTTTATTATAACAATAGAATCAGTTAATGGAAATTGTCTTCATCTCGGTACACAACCATGGTTAAATTTCGATACGAGGAAAGAGTTGATGGATCTAATAATACAGGGACATTAAGTTGATGATGTAAAGACATCAAATTATCAAGAAATGATAAGTAAGTAAAAAAAAAAAATTATAAATCTGTTTTAAATAGTAATAAAATTATTATCATGTTTCAGAAGACGTTAGGAGTTGGAATGTAGAATTTGATGACGAAGAATGTGTTCGAGAGACTGATGAATTCTCCCTACTCGTATTCAAAGAATATGAATCACATTATAAGTAACAAAAGTTAAATAACTATTTTAATAATAATTGTAATAAATAAATTTATAAATGTAATAAAAATTTATAATAATGTAAATAAATTTAAATTTAATAATTAAATGTTAAACAGTTGTGAAACATAAATAACTAAAAATTATAACTTAATTATGTATAACAGTAATTGTTTTAAATAATAAAAAATATTATATTTATATTAATGTTTTGTAGTTTGTGGTAAATATGGATGTCCAAAAATAATTCCCAACTTCTAAAAGCGATGTAAAGTGGTTTATGAGAATCTAAAGTCTTCAACAGTTTCAATCTGATACTGTACTCTACTTTTATATGAGGCATTCTCCACATTATTTTCAAAATTTTTATTTTACCATTCGCTCGCTCATACTTTAATGCGTTAATATCCACGCTGGATCTATGCAATATTAATTTTTGTCGGGAATTTATTATTATTTTGCAATGATCTTCTGCGAATCCCATAATTACTTTAAGGGGTATACACACTTCGAATTTTTCTCTAGATTCACGACTTTCATTCCATCCGGTGTTTTGATATCGGTAAAGGTTTGCCGTTTGAAAAGATACATAACCTTTCATACATGTTGTAATACCAGGAATTCTTACTTTATCAATTTCAACAGAGTTTAATTCGTAACGAATTTCATCAAAAAGAAAGATAATGCCATTGTTTATTGATCTTATAGAAGTTTCTCCATTACCTATTTCTATATTTATTTCAATTTCACCTTCAATGAGTAGAAATGATTCGCTGAGTAGAGTATACAAATCTTGATGTTGTATCACAATTTGTATTTTATTGTTATTCGACAGCGCGTTACTAGAAAACGTCTGATACGAATGATACTGAAATTTTGTTATACTTTCTTCAAAGTACGGTTTTTCGTGTATGTTCAGAACGTCTTCCATTGCGATTAATAAGTTTATAACCAAGATTTAAAAAAGTAGTCAAGCTGTCCCTTGTTAACTCTGAAAGTTTTGAAATTAAACTGTTCTTATCTTCATGAAATCGTTTCTTTTTAACGTTATATTGTATACCCATATCGAATATGAACACGAACCGTTACACTTTCTCCTCTGAAATCGACAAACTCTCCATTCTGATCTTTTATTTCAATTTTTACGTTATCTATTTGATTGGTCAACACGGAATAATATATAAGATTATTAGGTGATTCTACAATCTTATAACTGGGTGACATCAAGCGATTNTTTTACGTTATCTATTTGATTGGTCAACACGGA